CAGGTCATAGTTGTGGTCGGTACAAAGAAGACAAAGAGCAAAACGCTGAGCGTGCAAAGCGGGATCTTTACCGATATATGCACTATCATAACCGTTACAAAGCTCATACTGATTCCTTTAAGCTTGAAAGTAACTTAAAGGAGAGTATACAAAAGAAGGTGGCAGTTTCAGAGGAGAAGGACTCAAGGCTCAGGGATTTCAGCTGGGTAAATAATGGACTCTCCAGACTTTTCAGGTCAAGGAGAGTTCTTTCATATTCATACCCATTTGCTTTTTACATGTTTGGAGAAGAGCTGTTTAAGGATGAGATGACAAAGGAGGAAAGGGAAATAAAACAGCATTTGTTTGAGGACCAGCAGCAGCAACTTGAGGAAAATGTTGAGAAATTATCCAAGTTCTTGGAGGCACCTTTTGATGATTATAATGAGAATGAAGTTATGGACATAAGGATGCAAGTGATCAATCTCTCAGCAATCACTGATACCCTCTGTCAGAAAATGTGAGAATGGCAGTCAGAAAAATATCTTAATTGAACTTGCTGTTATAAATGTATCTGTGTACATATGTGATTCTCATCAAAACATGATTTTTTTTTTAACTGCATGCAGGTATGACTGCATTGAGAGTGATCTTTTGGGTTCTCTACAACTTGGTATCCACAATATAGCTCCTTACAAGTCAAAGGGCATTGAGAAGGCATCAGAACTTACTGTTTGTTGGGTCAATAAAGCTAATAATGTTGATAAAGATCTACGATTGCATTGTGGCACAAGTGGTAAAGTTGATTCCATGAATTCTTCTACCTCCCTTATCCGCTTAATTAACAGAAAAAAATTCAAGTATGGCGTCAATTGTGAAAGAAATAGGGCATATACGTGTAAGCATTCTTAAGAGTAGTAGTTGAACCAGTTCACTTTTTATGAGTCGCTATGATGGTATACTACGGAGCCTGATTGCATTCCCCCTAAACCCTAAATTCTGTTATAGTTTTTATGGTCTTCAAGCAATCTTATATTATATATTTGAATATGCCTCTTCTTGCTTGTAGTTATTGCAATTCAAGTTTAGCATGCATCTCCATTAGCCAATAAAAGCTTTGGTATATGTAGCTATAGCTTAAACATAATGGTCTCCCCTTATTTACAGTGATTATATGTTAGCTTATGTTCAGTATTTTTGCTGCTTAGGGAATGTTTTAATCTGACCAGTTGATATCGAAAATTGAAGGCTTTTTTGCTTCTATTGTGGTCAGCTTCTTCTGCCTTTTCTCTTAGTTGAATAGATTATCGTGGAACTGATATCTGATTGGAATCCAGTAGAAAGATAAGATAATTGGACCTTTTTTATATTTTAATTCGTATGGGCTCTGCAGGACCCACTCACAGTGGTTATTACATTTTTCCTGTCTTTTTATCCATCCCATCATGTATCCCTTTGACTTTGTTCTTGTTCTGCTAGCACTTCCAACATTGCATCACATCTTCTTGACATTGAAATTTGGTAATTTTCTTTTGGATTAACTTCTTTACTTTTATGACCCAAAAAAACTTCTTTACTTATAAAAACCTTGATCCATAGTAGTCACCGTGAGTTTTTCTTTAAATGAATAAAAGCAATGTAATGTAGTTAATATTATGTTTTCTTGGGGTGCAAATTACTTGCTGAAAGAAATTTCTTGGGGTTGCAAACCATCAATATTCTTTTTTCTTCCATTTTTAAGTTGAAAAAAGAATTTCTTAGTATATTCTCTCATGTATGGAATATGATGGATGCAAAATAGAAGATAACTCAGGCTAACATGTGTAAGGTTTTGCTAATATGCTTCTAATGTAGGAGGATCAACGGAACCAGAACAACCTTCAGGTTCTGGAAGTTCAGATGAGAGTGGATGCTCTTCTCGAAAGCGTGCTAGGAAGGGGGCTCTTGGAGGTGGGTTTTTTGATCTGAACTTGCCGGCAGAGGTTATTGACAAATCTGATTCTTGAAAGCTGCAGGCTTCATGCAGAAAAGGTGTACAGTCTCTAACGTAAGACTCTATTTTTCTATGACGGTATCGTCATTATTAAACTCCCAAGTACTTAACGTTTCTAGCTCCCAAGTATTTTGCGTTTTCCCCATTCTTATCCTTTTTGTTGCCATTGGTCTCTATGTGAAGAGAAATTTGGAGTTCTCTCTTTGAAAATACCTACTTTGTAGATAAACGTTTATTGGGATCTTTTTGGGGGAACTAAATTTGTAAATTGTCCGACTGAAACTTGAGCTATTCTTAAATAGTATTTTGGGATATATTCAAAAATTTTGGAGACTGGAAATAAGCTGACTTTATCGTTTTCTTCGTTTGCCTTTTTGTGCTGTCCAAATGATCACAATTCAATCAGTTTTATTTCTGGAATGAATTCTACAATATGTAACTGAACTAAAAGCACACACATATTGTAGTTAGTGGCAACCAATTGCTAATTCAAGTTGTTGGACTTCAGGCCTATTATGGTAGGCTGGGTTAGGCGTAATCTCTTGGAGTTGCTCTACTATCCTTTGTGCCAATGGTGAGACATTTGTGTTGGACAAACCAACCAACTCAAATCCAATTTGCACCTTGGATTAACTTGGATAAGCACTTTTTTATAAGTTAAGCAAACGCGGTTTAATTTGATTTAAAGGTCCAGCAAACGCAAGATAAGACAAGATTCAGTTACAATGTGTAACTATTACTTGGGTGTAGTTCAAGCTTATATTAGAATTGCTTATATGTTGTGTACTAAGTTTTCAGATTTTATTTCTCAATTCTTACTTAAACTCATACCCATTTTAGATGCTATAATCTGGGCAATCCGAGAAACTTGAAGAACTAATACAGACAAACATGGATGAGTTTTATGCGGGCTTCACAGGTTAAATGTGCAGAAATTTTGACAAACCGCAGGCGTTTATATCTGCATGACGTGGACAAGAATTAGTGTGTACCCAAATGGCACCAAAATTGTGTGTAAGTAGCTCAAAAATGAGAGGGAAAAGAAAATCAATGGATTGTAAAGGGGAAAAGAAGCTAGAGTTTGAGCTGCAAAATTTAGATGCAATACAAGAAGCAAATAAGTTCTCGGAAGAGAAGTAGTCAAACAGGCAGAAAATCTACAAACCCAAGTAGCATTTCAGATTACACTCAAGAAGCACACAACGCATTCGTTTCGAATTTAGAAGACTATGAAGACGTGACACATTAAAAATTGGTGCATACTATTTTTATTTTTCAAATGATAATTAGAGAGAGGGCATTCGGACTTTCAAACAGTAATAAGAGAGAGGGTATTCAGCATTCGACCTTATGCTCCTAACCGCTAGAGTTACAATCCCCACTCCCCTTATCAAATTGTATGTACATATTCTATGGTGCATGTCTTATGGCTTGGGCTCTAATATAAGGATTGGGATCCAGGTTGGACTAAGGGCACTTCTAACAGTGAAACCCTTGCTATGGCAAGGGGGGAACTAGGGAAAGCACTATTCACATGAATAGTGCATGCCCTTGCAAAAAGTAAAATGCACTTCCAGCAGTTGCCATGGCAAAGGGCAAATGCTATTCACTTTTTTGTTTTTTTAACAAATTTGTTTACCTAAACAATTAATTTGGACAATATTTTCGGATAAGATTTTGGGTT